ATTTCTGCTGTACCTCACAAATTAATCCCAATCTATGCAGAGATGACAAATGCATTTTTGGTATTTATTTTGTATGGATTTCGGCAACACTTTGTCAGATATTTACAATTTTACTACTCTTGCGTTTCTTTTATATTAATAGTATATAATAAGGTTTGCTAAATACAATGTCTATTCCTAATACAGGATATTTACCGTCACAAAACACAATCGCGTGATAACCTCTATTTATCCTGTAATAACTGTAGGTATGCTATTCTGTATGCACAAAAAATGTTTTGAAATAGTCAATAAACTGCCGGGCAAGAGAAAGTATACACCCATGTTTGGCGGTAGCTAAAAATGAAACAAAAACGAAATGGTCAGTCGATGGTGACGTATTTGACAAGGATGTCATAGGCGATATTACATGCATCACATCAATGAGTATCTCGCATCATGTGACGTGCATATGACGTCACAAGGAACATAGGGATTGTAATTTCACAATACACAGAACACAGTAATGAACAGAATGAAGTGTGACTTTGCAAGTGTGTACTTTCTTTTGACTGGCAGTTTATTTCAATTTATTTATATTCCTCTTTGTCTCCTAGGTGTTGACACGACGCAATGAACAACATAGACAGTCATAGATATCCAGTATAAACAATACCTAGCTCCCACTAAACTATTTGAGAACAAACGCTGTGTTGACAAAATATAAACCATGTGGGTCAAAGAATGATTAATTGTGACTATGTGTATAATTCAATATTTTGTTCCAGTACTGTCACAGGTGGCACATTGATTATTAAATACAAATATTTTTAGAGGCTGTTTTCTAAATCGACTGTTTTCTCACTGTCAGGATGTGATATGAGTTTCATTTTTGTCGGGACAATATAATATATATACACATATCTGTTATTAATCCTCTGAAACAGGGTTTTATTTGTTCGAACATCATGATCCGGCTTTGTTCATCTCTTTTTATTACTGACAAAAACACAATAAAAAACCCACAAAACACCATGGCCGGAACATGAGTGCCAATATACGGTTCATAATACATATACATCAAGAGGGCATTATACAATTACAACCAATTGTTGATGTATGGCTGGAACTTTGATAGATTTCTAAGGGTTCAAACCTTAAATTGTTAAAAATTTGGGTCATGTATAGTTACGTAGTAACCATTTAAAGTATTTTTCTTACATCTGAAAAATAGGAAAAAATAGAAATGATATGAAATGTGTCTCCTATTAATTCGGAATTACATAGTTTATATACTCTGAAGACTCTACGATATTCAACCATTGGCAGGTTTCCATAGGTAATAATGGTTACTGGTTCTGAAGTATAATATTGGTTTAAATATTTCATCGCTAATGTTATTTCTGTCAGAGTTCGTGGGACTTGACAACACATTTATCAATATTCAAGATGTATGGAGGAGAGGGGGAAGAAGGTGGGGGTTCCTCGTGAGGAACCTGTGTCTTCTGTGTGACCAGTGAACGCTATATTTGACTTGACTACCCTCGTTGTCCCACCTGATTTTGTGTGGGAATTCTGCATAACATTCAACGTACCTTTTCAGTGTACATCACAATCCCTTAACATCATCTGTGTAGAATTCCCAGCATCTTTACTTGGTAACGAGGAAAACATGTTCATAGATCTCCACCTGTTCATAAAGTGGATCGATGCTCATGATATCAATCACAGGCTTGTCTGGTCCAGACTCGATTATTTACAGACCGCCGTCATATAGCTGGAATATTGCTGAGTGCGGCCTTAAACAACTAACCAACCAACTAATCATAAAATTTACACATCGTAAAAACGCAAAAACAGAAACTGTCAATCTTTGAATACACCTTAGACTATCAAAAATCATCTTCAACTGAAGATATTCCCGTGGGAATCCCCGGGTAAATTTGGATCCTTGTAATCCATGCTTGTCATAATTGCCGTCTGTTGCTGAATCGGGTGTGAGTGAGTGAGTATGGTTTTACGCCGCTTTTAGCAATATTCAAGCAATATCACGGCGGGAATACCAGAAATGGGCTTCACACATGGTACCCATGTCGGGAATCGAACCCGGGTCTTCGGCATCTTCCCGAGGCAAAAGAGTTAACTGACTTTAAAAGTCCAGTTTCCACCCTTGCTGAACTAGACTGGAATTCCTGGGCTCGATCGTAGCGCCACCAGTGGCTATTACGAGTAATGTCCTTTCTATGCCTCTCCTATTGACCAATCAGATTCAACCTCTCGTATCACTTGCATTTGCTTCAAACAAAACGGTGGCGCCCAGTCAAGACGATCTGATCGATAATCAAGATCTATATTGTGATCAAACGAGTCTTACATCGCGAAGTGCATCAAATCACGTGAGCACCTTGATTAAAAACATGAAAAGATATAGAAAATATCTATTGACAACGAGTTAGCGGTGCACATGTTTTGCAAATCCTGCAGTCGACCGAAATCTGCATGACACTTTACGAACCGGGATAATCGGATATGAGTGAGTGAGGTGGGTTTACCGTCGCTTACAGTAACAGTATTTCAGTTACATCGCGGCGCGTCAGCTTAATGTGGGAGGAAAGCCCGAAGTGATACAGGTCTCAGACGTTTACAACTTTCGTGAAACCCACGAGCACGACAAACCTAGAAACATAATAGAGGCGAACCGGGATTCGAACCCACAATCATAGGTTTCTGGCGTGTCCAAGGGACGCAACTCTGCACAGCGAATCGCGGCGCCTTAGACGACTTGGCCACCCGTGGCCCCTGATCGGAAATGAAGATAAACTTGTCCCTATCAAAAGTGTAGTAGTATGACATTGCTGATCGTGACATTAAAACATTCACTCACTCACTCAGTTTGAAAGCAATGACTTCTAGATCCGTGATTATGTTTCAACATAGCATATCCTCCTCAGAGAATTTGATAAAAAATGGTGTTTTTTTGTACATATGACTGAGCATTATTCCAACCATATCACAATTGGGTATTAGTGATCAGACTTGGGTGCCCTGATTGGGGCAAATCTGTCCAACCACAGCGAATCTCGTACCTAAGGGTCTAAGGCAGCACATCTACAGTTCGCTGTACAGAGTTGCGTCCCTTAGTCGTACCAGGATTCGTAGGTCGTGAGCTCTAATCCAGGATTCTCCCAGATAATGATCCTTGGTTTGTCAGCATTATACTTGCGCTCATAGGTTTCACTACATTAGTCAAAGTATGTGTGGCTAAACATTTCCTCCAACGACGTGTTGTATAACTGGAATATTGTTCATGCGGCGTAAAACCCAACTCACTCACATAAAACAGACACTATTGTCTTTATTGTCCTAACACGAATTTACTGAGGAAATAAAGGTAGCTCGGACCCATCAACATGCGTGTGCGTCTTTAAACGTGGTAAATGCAATTGTTTTCTTCAATATATAGAGAATCTCACCCGAGTGTCTTTTTATATCAAATATATCAACACGAGTTGATAAAAGTGGGAAAACTCCGAGGCTCGCCGAGGATTTTTCCCACTTTTATCAACGAGTGTTGGTATATTTGATATCAAAAGTCACGAGGGTGGGATTTTATTAATCCAACATTATTCTTCCAAATTTTTCAGTTTGTAGACAGTAATTAGCAGTGACTTAAGTGTAAAAAGTACTGCTTACATCTTCAGTAGCAGAGCCATTAGTGATGTCATTTAGGAGATAAACATACTGTGTTTTCAATGTAGAGCTAGGTTACGTGTAGATTTAACCTCGCTAAATTGAATTTGGAACCGAACGCGCAGCGTGAGGTTTCAAATGTTAAATTTAGCGCGGTTAAATCTACAGGTAACCTAGCTCTACATTGAAAAGACAGTATGTTTATCTCCATTCTACCATGACTAAATAAAATGCGAACTCTTTGGTGTTAGCAAATATACTGAGTGAAGCGGCATGGGTTGTGTTCAGTGTTCTGAGTGGGTTATCGAACTGAATTACGGAATCACCGAACAAAATATGGTGCTGTATATACTCAAGCAGTTTGTTTACACCGTAATACTTCACTCGAACATATGACAGGCATTGAATGCATATAAGCACGGCAACTTGAGCTAACATGAGGTGGGCATCCCTAAAGAAAACAAAGCAAGCTTTGCAAGGCTTTCGCTCATCATCGCACGTCACCATTATGACGTCATATCGCTCATTGTGACGCAAAAAATATGACGTCACAGCCGTATATAGAAAAGCGCCAAAATTCCAAGCTCTCTAGCTGTTGTCTCCAAAACGTAAATACATTCCCTTTGTTGATTTCTGTCGTTTTTTCTGCACGAAATGTATTGCCACACACCCTTTGAATATTGTAGTAACCGCATCTGTTCATTTTGTAACCTGTAATTGTAGACATAATTATTTAAATATGCCTACCGACAATGACTGAAAATAGTACTATTCTATGAATATTAGCTTCCGCGGTGATGCGGCCGTCAAACCAGCTGTTTCAATCAGTGGGGGTTTATTGTGATTTAAAAGCCTCTGATTGACCAATCAGAATCGAGGAAATTCCAAATTCATGGTATAATTGATTGTGACGTCATGATAACCAATGACGTCACAATGGTCTGCAAAGCAATGTGATGTAACCCAAGCGATATCTCCTGTGGGAGCCAGTTTTGGACGATAAATACTGTTAATGCACTCGTTTCCGGCGATAAAATTCGTTAATGTGTTTAGGTATGATTCCGGTGTAAATTTAAGCGAATGATTCAATCATGTATTGCTACATGTGTACGATTTTAACGCATGGGGTCACTTTAATTAGAGTTTATACTACCTCAAGTATTATGAGGTATTATATTATGAAGTTATCACAAAGAATGTGTTCGTGCTGAATGTCATAATTGCAAACCATTTTTTTCTTTCAGTGGCAAAAGTTTTGTCAGCGATTGCAAACACGTTGTCAGAAGACCCCGTAAAAGCTTTCTTTATTGTTTACGTCAACGACAAAGGGCGGGTAACTCTAAATTACTATACGTGCGTGCAGTGAATATTTTGCTGTATTCTAAATGTTCTGATTTAAATTAGCAAGATGAACAACAGGTTGACATGGCCGAAGATAGTCCTCTTTGGAGACTCGATTACACAGGTAAATACCACGTGACTGTCAGATTTCGGTTTCAGCATGGCTCAGCTTGCTCGGGCCTATGTGAAAATAGCCTAAATTGTCTATTTAGTTTCTTGTTCTAAATCTGAAGCTTTGTTCTACTGTTCTAGTTTGATAAAATCAACCGGATGTTTCTTTAATCTTTTAACCATTGGTATGAGCAACTGAATGACCTCAAATGAATAAATTTCAGCGAGCCTTGTAGCCTATTGGTGTAAGAAATCTTTGCATAACGTGAATAAAATTAACAGAATCTGTGAGGTTCTTTCACGCAAAAATATGCAATTTCAGCAGGCGTATTGAACATCAGGATTGAGCTGTTGAATAGGAAAATATAGGGATATGGTCGTAAAAAATTAACATCAAACACAAATCAATGAATTACCATCACACCAAGTCATTATACATAGTCATCAAATCAAACAAAGGCTGAAATACGGCTCAAGTTTCACATGACCTAATGTAATTCTCTGTCGGCACATATCATCAGCACAAGTGACAATTAATTGAGGAAACTTTGTACTTCCTTCTGGTTTTGTTAAACAAATCATTAATTTGATCAAATGATGGACCTGGCCTCTATTAGTAATGCAGAAGGGGTCGTTATCGGCACAGGTACTACAGAAATGTACTACAGGTACGTTCATGTATACAGAAATGTACCCTAGCTAAAATCAAACTACAGAAACATATCCTAGGATGAGTCCATTCCGCCACAGGGTACAATGCTCATAACCATTTCTTTAGGTATTTGTCACTTCCTGTATACCAAACAACGGTTAAATTCAACATGGCTGTACTTGAGTAGCCTACTTTCAACAGGAGATGCATTCCAGCGCCTCATATAGGAAAGAACCATACACAGTGACGTACGTACATTAATCTAATATTCCGGCAATATTCTGTACGGCACACATGCACTCGTAACCAGGTGAGCCAGAACTACAACATGAACCGGTTTTTGTTTCGGGTTGGGGAATATGGACTTGTCCGCCGTTAAGGGTACCAGGTACCGTATGTTTCTGTATTCTAATTTTGGCTAGGGTACATTTTTGTAGTACCCGTGCCAACAACGACCCCTTCAGCATTCGATTTTTTGTGACAGACCATATCACTCGGCTTTAGAGGCTGGCATATATTTGAAGACCTTGAGTCTATTGGAGGAAATATGGTAGATTGTGAAAATATTTTATGATTTGTCACACAGGTGGAAATGTGCTGTAAAATGTACAATGCAGAATTTTCTTACTGGATGATCTATAACCCCAATTTTGTTTGTATGTTGTTTAACGCTGCACTCAGCAATATTCCAACTATATGACGGCGGTCTGTATATAATCGAGTCTGGATCAGACAATCCAGTGATTACTATCATGAGCATCGATACGCGCAATTTGGACCGATGACATGCATCAACCAAGTCTGCGAGCCTGACCAACCGATCCCATTAGTTGCCTTTTATCACAAGCATAGTTGCCTTTTACGGCAAGCAACAGAAAAACATTGAAAACAATGAACGGATGAGGAGATATGGTAACGGAAGCTACCTACCCACAAGCTGTTATTGAAATGACTGCTAGATGGCAGATCTAGCTCTCCATTCATGCTCTACATCTTCCCCTCATGACATTTCCTAACATGTTTATGAACAAGCAGTGGAAACAATGATGCAAGATATGGCTGTATTGGTATATCAGCCTACATTATCTGAAGTAGGGACCGAGGTATAATTTAGTGTCACGTTGACAGTATTTCTGTCATATTGTCCCGAAAAAAGTTGTATAGATAATGATGTGTCAGAAGGACAGTAGGTTGACAGCAATAATATGTCATATAGCAGATTAAAAACTAAAAATTCCAAATACTAAACATTCCAATCATCTTGTTAAATATGACCAATAGGTAGCCAGCAACAAAAGCTAGATGACCCCACTGGGGGCCATGGGGATTTACAGTACCTCTGCTACCTGTATGATTCTAAGCAGGATTATCTGAAGTAGTATTAGCAGTAAAATACACAGTGACTCTCGGTAGCATTTCCCGGTGTGTTCAAACTCATTACATCTGATCTTTATTATTCTGACATGACACCTCTCTGTATGAAGATTCAGGTGAATTTCTAATAAGCAAATCTAAGCCGAGACTTTTAAAATCATGGCACAAGTTTGTTTGTTTGTTTATTGTTTAATGCCGCACTCTGCAATATTCCAGCTATATGATTGGGGTCTGTAAATAATCGAGTGTGGACAAGACAATCCAGTGATTGACATCATGAGCATCAATCCACACAATTGGGACCGATGACCTACAGTGGGTACCCGGGTAGGGTCGGGTGATAGGGGGGTGGGTACCTGGGGTGGGTAGTAAATTCAGACTCATCCCAGCAATACAACATGCATCAAGTCATGTCAGAAATGTAATACAGAATATCCAGTCTACTTTCTATAAAAAAAACCTGGAAACAGCCATCAGCGTAGGTTAATGAAACATAACTTTTGTTTGTATTTTTTCTTTCAGTTTAGTCTGAGCCAGGAAGGCCAGTGGGGCGCTTTGCTAGCAGATCATCTCCAGAGGTAACACCGACACTGACTGGGCACACAGACTTCTGGCCCAAGTGCTGTAATGAACTCACCTAGCAACTGTTTGTATATATTGTCAAGGATAAAAACATCATTTTGGGTTTAAACATATATTTATTTCATAAACGAGATCTGGATTGGTAAACAAGCAAAACAAGGCTTATATAAACACCGCTCCAGGAAAAACAGATTACAGTTCTTGTACACAATACATAAAATTAACCCGTAACCTAGAGCTAGTGGTGTCTGAGCTTTTTGGCCACCAAATGCTTTAACCAGAATGACAAACTGCTACCACTTATCAGTTCCATTGTAGCTAAAATAAAACCATGCTGACAGTGGTTTGATATAATATAGTTGTCGAAATTGTTATGTGTATATAGTTGAAACGAAATAACTTTGAAAAAAACATGGACTGACTTGTTTAATGAAATAGTGAGTGAGTAAGTTGGGTTTAACACAGCCCAAAGTGATGCAGGTCTCAGATGTTTTCTACTTTGGTGAAATATCACAAGCGCAGGTATGGCACTGACAAACCTAGAAGCATAATCAGGGATTCGAACCCACGATCATAGGTTTCTGGTGTACCCAAGGGGTGCAAATCTGCACAGAGAATTGTGGCACCTTAGACACCTGGGCCAACCATGCCCCTTTTTGAAATATTATAAATCTGAAAAGTTTTGCAAGCAGGAAAGCGCTGCGAAAACTGAGAGTGACACACACTCGCAATTTTTTCGTGACACAGTTTTTTTTCAGACCAACAACAAACAAAAGACGTAAGGAGGCATATTTCTTGATTCACTTCCACACATTGTCAAGCCAGCCAGTACATGATAAAAGAAATAATTCCTCTCATCCTGTGTTTCCCTAATTACACACTGTCACAGTGTCAATCAATCAATCTTTATTCATGGTACTTATGAGGCCAAAGGCCTATAGTACAATGTGTGGGGCGTGTTACAAATTCATACATTTTCTTAGTTTCATGGCATGATAAATGAACATTGATAGATTTCTAATAGTTTCTGTACAATCACAAGTCATTAATTTACAAAATTTGTTACCGTTTGGGTTGCGGTAGAAATAGTTATTTAGATATTTTGCTCTTAAATCTTCATACACTGGACATACACATAAAAAGTGATATTCATCTTCAAGTCACAGTGTCAATAATTAATCTAAGTTCACTAATATGCCACATCTTGTCAAGTTGTTCACATAACACCGAGTAGTCCACACATGTGCCAGCCAGTCTATTCTGTTAGATAAACACGCTACTCCAACCTCCCTTGTCAACAACAACACATGCATGTATAGTTTATAAAAACACAGAGTTATCGTGTCATCGTGCTGCTTCCTACTTATCAAATATTACACCTGCAAAAGTATCTTTGATATTTGATAATCTAGGTGTCGCAAAACCTTTTCGATACAGTTGAGGCTATTGTTAGCAACTCACAGTAAATTCATGGGGCAAAACTTTCCAGATTTACAGTAAATGATAGCAGCAGAAATACCATATGTTGCCAGGTAGCCTACTGGTAAACCATTTTTGATAATATATCTAATTTACCCTTCCAGCTGTTTATCAGTTTCTTGTTAATATTCCATGCACACCAAGCGTATTCTAAGACTTTCAAATTTAATTAACTTTTTCAGAGAGTCCAGAACTCCTTGTAGTTTTTTGTTGTTATTGTCCGAATTATGGTTAATAATTTACTTGTTTTACAATATCTACAGCAGAGTAGGGCTGGGACGAGTCCAAATTTACTACCCAGGTACCCACACCCTACCCGGGTACCCGCTGTTGGTGTCAAGAGATAGGTACAAAATGTCTGATTGGGAATAGTTTGACAGTAGCCCTGGCAGAATGCACCTAGATACACGTATAAAATGATGTGTCATGCATATACTGAAGTTGACTGAAGTTTTAGCTTTGTTCAAACATATATATAAGTCAGAAGGAACGTGTTCATAGTCATGAAGAAATGCGAACATTTGAGACTTAAAATTGTCGTGTAACCATGTAGTTATATCAGGAATTTTTGTCATAAAACAATATATCACGTGACTAACCTTGGGTCTGGGTAGTCCTGTGGGTACCTGGGTTCTACTCAGTACCCACCTGACCCGAGTACCCGAGTTGCCCTTCCCAGCCCTACAACAGATATAAGAATATCTCGTACAAAGAGATTTTTCTCTCAACTAAACGATTTTCTATTTTCAGGAAATGTGACGTGATAAATCGTGGTTTCTCTGGCTACAATGCGAGGTGGTGCAAGTTTGTGCTGCCCCAGATCCTCAGCAGCGATGATGCCGCCGGTGTGGCTGCTGTCACTATCTTCCTCGGGGCTAATGACTCCAATGATGAAGTCTTGAACCCCAGACAGCACGTGCCCCTTGAAGACTACATGGAGGACCTCATGGAGATGGTGGAGTATTTGCAGGTCAGTAGTTATCTCCCTTTGAAGGGCAGCTTTGATGGTGAGTGAGTGAGTGAGTATGGTTTTACGCCGCTTTTAGCAATATTCCAGCAATATCACGGCGGGGGACAACAGAAATGGGCTTCACACATTGTACCCATGTCGGGAATCGAACCCGGGTCTTCGGCGTGACGAGCGAACGCTTTAACCACTAGGCTACCCGACCGCCCCGCTTTGATGGTGTATAAGTGTGTCCACAAAGCAAAGGTGAAGGTATTTGTTTGGCTGCTCCTGATCTTGGAAAACTCAGCAGAAACTGTATCCCTTTTTTATGATTTCCGGACTTTTGGTATTATTATCCCCCGCCCCAAAGTGGAAGGGGATATAGGAATGGATGCTCTCTGTCCGTCCTTCCGTCTTTCCATCAGTCCGTCTGTCACATTTCGTTTCCGAAACAGAACCTAAAAACCATGAGAGATATCTTAACCAAACTTGGCACATAGATAGGTCTAGTGGTAAACTGGTGCCTTTTGATTGATTGGGATTTTTTAACAAATTATTTTTTGAGTTTACATAGCAACTTTGACCTGGACTGAAAATGACTGTAGTGCTCTTTTTCGGAGCAGATCTTGAAAACCGGACAATATTTCATCACCTGTTTCTTAATCCACCTGTTTCCTGATCCTGCTGATCCACCTGTTTGCTGATTAACCTGTTGTTGTGCCTGCAGTCTATAGGCATCGAGAGGGAGCGAATCATCCTCATCACCCCTCCAGCATGTGACGAGAAGGCCTGGGGAGAAGAATGCAAGAAGAAAGGTACTCCCCCCATCCCTGTCTGCCATGTATTTTCAGACATCCTGAGTTTATCTAGTGCAGATTGTTTGCGTCAAATCTTGAAAAGGTCCCCTGAAATTCTAAATTTAATCCCAACATTGTGAGGGGTTTAGTTCAAAAGGGTCAGATTACCCTTTGTCTCTTGTGATGAAAATGTAGAAAAATGTGGGTTTCCTGGTTTCAAGAAGAAATATCAGCTTATTATTGGAGCAGCATCATTGTGACATACACCTAAAACCATCACCTGCATTACATCGTCTTTCATCACACATTAGTGAGTGAGTGAGTGAGTTGGGGTTAACCTCGCTTTTAACAGTATTCCAGTAATGTCCCGGCGTGTCAGCTTAATGTGGGAGGAAAGCCGAAGTGATGCAGGTCTCAGACGTTTACCACTTCGGTGAAACCCACGAGCACGGGTATGGTGCTGACAAACCTAGAAACATAATCGGGGCAAACCGGGATTCGTACTCATAATCATAGGTTTCTGGCGTGCCCGAGGGATGCAACTCTGCACAGCGAATCACAGTGCCTTAGACAACTGGGCCACCCTTACCCCCCTCATCCCAAATTAAGCTGACACACTGTGATGCAACTGAAATACTGATCAAAGGAACATTAATCCAAAGTCTGCCACTACTCAGTTATTGTCAGGAGGCATTTTGAAGTGAAGTGTGTATACTTGTAGGTTGCATTATATTAAAAGCAGGTGTGTCATTCTCAATAATTCACAGACGGTGATGAGTGACGGTATAGCTGAATATTGCTGACTGTGACCAAACAAACAAACAAAGACCTTCCTTATGTGTGCTGGGGGGCACGGGTGGCCCAGTCGTCTAAGGCGCCGCTATTCGCTGTGCACTGTTGCGTCCCTTGGGCACGCCAGAAACCTATGATTGTGGTTTCGAATCCCGGTTCGCCCCGATTATGTTTCTAGGTGTCAGCACCATACCCATGCTCGTGGGTTTCACCGAAGTCAATCGTCTGAGACCTGCATCACTTCGGACTCTCCTCCCACTGGAATACTGTTAAAAGCGGCGTTAAACCCAACTAACTCACTCTTCATGTGTGCTATGACATCTGTCTCGTGGCCAGGTAAACCGCTGAGCAAGGACAACAAGGTGACGGAGCTGTATGCCAGGGAGTGTGTGGAAGCCGCAAGTGACTGCGGCACGCAGTGTGTGGATCTCTACAAGGCCATGATGAAATCACAAGTACGTCCTGGAGGAGTCTTTTTTATCATTATTAAGAGCAGTGTTTTTTCATTCTGCTGACCAGAAAAAAAGTCAAAAGTTAACAAAACCAAATCATTTACTGTCACAATTAATATGATTAAATTATTTAGAATACTATAATTAAAATTTAATTTTCAATACAGCTGGCATATTGATGCACTTGTAAATGATCCTTTATCAGCCTAAAATGGCTGATGAAGGTCATTTATAAATGTCTCAATATTTGCATTATTTTCATTAAATTAAATACTGTATTCGACGTTATAAGCGCCCAGGCCCCTCTCAAAATTAGAAATAGGGGGCGCTTTTTAGAATATAATTTTGGTGAAAAAATACAGAATTGAAAGATTGTAAATTTCGTGGTTTGGCGAACTCAGAAAACGATCGCTCTCTGTACTTTACCCCTTTAGATATATATGTCTCTTACAAATAATACTATGTGCATGCTTGCATTTATTAACTTAAATATCTATGTATTTGTGATAATGCAACTCCCAATTAACAATGAGTAAAAATGATCCTTGACGCCCATTGTTCCAAACCAGAAGTACCGGTAATCAGCAGGTTAAGTTAAAAAAAATTATGTAAACATCCACTTTGTGGTTGTGATTTTCAAATATTACCTTATATCACTTACCTTTATTTTTCTGTTAATATGATGATGTTTTTAATGTGTATTACCACATCTTTGTTTCAGGTACTTATTTGTAAAATTAACATGAATATTCTTTCTCGAAACATGTTTTTTGTTATTATGTCGGCTATGGTGCTGGTGATAACAGGCCACAGTTCAACAATAAATGTATAGAGTTTGTGAATGTAAATACTACAACTACCTACCTGAGATTAATTTATACACATTTTCTGAAGAAACTGTATGCAAGTATCCAAAAAAGTACATTTATTTTTTAATGAATCATCGTTTTAAGAAGTAACATAACTTCGCATAACAGCACTGCCACAGGCTAATTTGCATATCACATTACCAGCCTTTTCTCTTGTTTTTAAAAGAAAGCTGAAATCAGAACAGACTAATGCTTTACATATTATTTTGCATAATTATTTGCTACTAAAACTGCGACTGTGACGTGCACGACAATATTCATTTATGCATCAAAGTGATCATATTGCTATCTCCAAATGGCTTCGATGACAGCTCGAAATGTGAACAAATGCAAACTATGCAAATGGAAATAGTTTTTAATGTTTTTTTTAGATATTTTCTCACTGAAAGTTAACCGTGACAAATGTTTGTCTTGATGTGTAGACTCGTCCAAAAAAGTGAAACAAGAAAATAGATCGTTTTTGCATTGATAAATTTGAGTTGGTATGTGGCGGTATGTGGTAAAGCGGGCTCTATGGAATGGGGTGAACAGAATTTAAGTTGTAAGTATCGTAGGGACATGATTTCACCAAAATAATAATGTAAACGTTATTGAATATAATTGTGAATAAAATTAATAAAATGGATTACAAACATAAGTCAAGATACAAAATGAACAGTATTAAACAGAAATAGTGCAACTTGTGTAATTCAGTACGGGTATGTTTATATTCTATTTCTGATGACGGATCATGACAGTCATATATATATACGACAGAAATGATTACTTAAGAAAAGTCAGAATTTAGTTGCACATAATTAAGGGTGCGTATGACACACGAATAAGCAAGTTTTGTGTGCATTGATCAATTGGAAGGGGCGCTTATTAGGATTCTTCACTTGCCAATATATTAGCAAATATTGCCATGCGCGCTTATTAGAGCAGGGCGCTTATTACGTCGAATAAGGTACTTTGTTTTTTATATCTGTGAATATTTCTGTATTCGCAGGGATGGGAGGACATGTTGAGTGATGGTCTCCACCTATCACAGAAAGGCTCACACTTGCTCTTTACTCTGCTCCAGCCAATCGTAGACAAGCTTACATCAGATGTTGTCTTCAAGTTTCCCTTGTGGGATGAAGTGGACTACAATAATCCAGAAGCGTCTCTATGCTCTGTCAATGCATCTAGTTAATGTGCAGGTGCCCTGTGACTAGCTAGTGTTCAGTGACCTGTGACTAGCTAGTGTGCAGTGACCTGTGACTAGCTAGTGTGCAGTGACCTGTGACTAGTTAGTGTGCAGTGGCCTGTGACTAGCTAGTGTGCAGTGACCTGTGACTAGTTAGTGTGCAGTGACCTGTGTCTATCTAGTGTTCAGTGCCCCGTGACTAGTTAGTGTTCAGTGCCCTGTGACTAGTTAGTGTTCAGTGCCCTGTGACTAGTTAGTGTTCAGTGACCTGTGACTAGTTAGTGTTCAGTGCCCTGTGACTAGTTAGTGTTCAGTGCCCTGTGACTAGCTAGTGTGCAGTGACCTGTGACTAGCTAGTATGCAGGTACCCTGTGACTAGCTAGTGTGCAATGACCTGTGACTAGCTAGCATGGCTAGTGTACAGTGACCTGTGACTAGCTAGTGTGCAGATGCTGTTTAAAAAGTTAATCTATGCACTGTGAGGAAATGAACTTATTTAATCATGATACCTATCAATTTTGATCTTTCACACTTCATTTTTATTGCACTATCAGTAGTTACATACAGTAGAGTACATTGGTTATGGAACTAACGGACACGACAAACTTATCCATGATTCTTGTGTTCTAGTGATAATTAAGTATTCCTTGTCCTTCGGATTTCTTTCATCAGCCAGATACCATCATTTGCAAAAATCACTGTATATCAGACCAAGCATGAACAATTTTTACCTCATGGTAGCATACTTGAGAACAAGAGCCTTTAGGCCACCTTTCTAGATGATAGTTTAAGGAGTCCCATGTTTGTTTTATTCTCAGCCTCATGTACTGTGCAGTGTGTCTGGTACACCACATACATGTCATGTATGTACAGGGGGCACGGGTGGCCCAGTCGTCTAAGGCGCCGCGATTCACTGTGCAGAGTTGCGTCCCTTGGACACGCCAGATTTATGATTGTGGGTTCGAATCCTGGTTTGCCCCGATTATGTTTCTAGGTTTGTCAGCACAATACCCATGCTCGTGGGTTTCACCAAGGTGGTCAAGGTCTGAGACCTACATCACTTCGGGCTTTCCTCCGACATTAAGCTGACACGCCATGATATAACTGGAATACTGTTAAAAGGGGAGTTAAACCCCTTTAAACACACAGGGCTCCGGGGCAGAATAGGTCTTCAGCAACCCATGCTTGTCCTAAGAGGCAACTTTGCTTGTGATGAGGCAACTAACGGGATCGGGTGGTCAGGCTCACTGACTGAGTTGATGCATGTCATCATATCCCAATTGCGTAGATCGATGCTCATGATGTCAATCACTGGATTGTTTGGTCCAGACTTGATTATTTACAGACCACTGTCATTTATAAGTGAAATATTGCTGACTGCGGTGTTAAACAACAAACAAAAAACAAAAGCTTTCGATCAATAAATTAGGCTCATCATAGACAAATCAGAACACAAGCTAAAAAGGCAACATTGGGTAATTACGCACAGTGTAAATAGATTATAGATTCCAGAATTTTTTCTTGCATATTTGTGCATGAGCAAATGAAATATAATTGGGTTATGGAGATTTCTTTTGTTTATTTTATGCAAATATGCAGCTCACGTTCAGATTGTTTGTGTACAGCATATATGATCAGCTACATGTATGTGATACTGAGAAGTGATTGCCGAAATAGCAGCAAGTACTGTTATAATGTGGACACACTCATAGAAACAGTTGTAGTCACTTCAACTTGATCTCAGGAACATGGCAAACTGTAGTAGATGTATGCCATTTTAATTACCAACTTTATTCAATCATATCGACTGTCATTGTCAACATGTACTTACAGTAAGGTAACAGGGTTGTGTACTCACTTCTCATTGGTTGAGTTTTAGAGGGGTGTGTCTGATAGTTATGACTGACCATTTGCTTTGATAGTGATTCAGTAATCGCTCAGTATGCAGTTATTTTTTCAGGTTTTTCAATTCATGAACGCTTAAGTGCAAATATTTGTAACCTATCATTCATGAGTGATTATTGCAATTTTCCCTATCTTATCTCATCCCGTATGTGCCTTTTTTACAAAATGAATATTTTCATGTTATGGTGATGGTATCATTCCCCTGGAACAAGGGACTGAGCATAGAGAGGGTGACCCCGGATATTTAAGAAAAAAATATCCCAGATAATACTGGAAAAATTGAAACTAAATATGTATATGGTTTAATATGAAAAACATGTTCACTGGATATCCTGATTATTTGACAAAAAATGTTCTGTTTCTAACACAAATCCCCATCTTCCCGAGGCAAGAGCGCCCTTTAGCCCTTTTTATCACAGTCTTGTTTCCACTAGGCCTTGATATAGGCTTGTGGACACGCTTGCCTCGGGAAGGTAAGAAATCTCAAACCCCTCAGAGTATTAAATGGTCTTTACCCAAATGAGGGCTTGGGAGACCCAGTTATCTAAGGTGCCGCAATTCGCTGTGCAGAGTTGCATCCCTTTGGTATGCCAGAAAACTATGATTGTAGGTTTAAATTCCTGTTTGTCCCATCAGCACCATACCGATGCTCCTGGGTTTCACCAAAGTGGCAAATGTCTGAGACCTGCATCACTTCGGTCTTTCCCACTTTATGCTGACACACTATGATGTAACTCGAATACTGTTAAAGGCAGATTTAAACCAAACTCACTCACTACCCAATATGGAGAACATCACTGTCTTTGATCTACAATATTGTATTTGCAGAGTTTTTGATTGTGTTTGACTTTGAAGAACAAACGTCTGCCAACTATTACCAATTGCTGCTTTGCAACAAAAAGTCTGTGATATACTAAGATAGTTTTATCACCGCTGGCATTAATTTTGTTTCCTGGGTCCCCTGATTCTCTAACCAGAAACACATGGTTAGCTAAAGAGAAACTTGATACGTAACATTATTGCAGGAAATAGTAGTTGACAGTAGAATATAAATATGAAATAAAACTGATTTGTTCCAACTGTGAGCTGCCCATTGTGTTGAGGACTTCTAATGGGGTAGCTGATGTACAGTAATGAATTGAGTGATGACAAGTCCACTGTTGCCTTGCATCCAAATGTATGGACATGGTGAAGATTTATGTTATTGTTTCTGAATAAAGATCTATTCTCACTGTATGCGCTATGTTGTAACTAAGGGAAATGTACTTATGCTAAGCCCTCATTATAATAGCAGATTCCAGTAAACACTTATAAAGAACAGGTCACATCAGATGCTTGTCTCCATGTTGGATTCCAGTAAACACTGATAAAGAACGGGTCACATCGCTTTTTGGTCTCAAAAGTTGGATTCCAGTAAACACTGATAAAGAACAGGTCACATCCCATGCTTGTCTCCATGTTGGATTCCAGTAAACACTGATAAAGAACGGGTCACATCCCATGCTTGTCTCAATGTTGGATTCAAGTAAACACTGATAAAGAACGGGTCACATCCCATGCTTGTCTCCATGTTGGATTCAAGTAAACACTGATAAAGAACGGGTCACATCCCATGCTTGTCTCCATGTTGGATTCAAGTAAACACTGATAAAGAACGGGTCACATCCCATGCTTTTCTCCTTGTTGGATTCAAGTAAACACTGATAAAGAACGGGTCACATCCCATGCTTGTCTCAATGTTGGATTCAAGTAAACACTGATAAAGAACGGGTCGCATCCCATGCTTGTCTCAATGTTGGATTCAAGTAAACACTGATAAAGAACGGGTCACATCCCATGCTTGTCTCCTTGTTGGATTCAAGTAAACACTGATAAAGAACGGGTCACATCCCATGCTTGTCTCCTTGTTGGATTCAAGTAAACACTGATAAAGAACGGGTCGCATCCCATGCTTTTCTCCTTGTTGGATTCAAGTAAACACTGATAAAGAACGGGTCACATCCCAAGCTTTTCTCCTTGTTGGATTCAAGTAAACACTGATAAAGAACGGGTCGCATCCCATGCTTGTCTCCTTGTTGGATTCAAGTAAACACTGATAAAGAACGGGTCGCATCCCATGCTTGTCTCCTTGTTGGATTCAAGTAAACACTGATAAAGAACGGGTCGCATCCCATGCTTGTCTCCTTGTTAGATTCCAGTAAATACTGATAAAGAACGGGTCACATCCCAAGCTTTTCTCCTTGTTGGATTCAAGTAAACACTGATAAAGAACGGGTCACATCCCAAGCTTTTCTCCTTGTTGGATTCAAGTAAACACTGATAAAGAACGGGTCGCATCCCATGCTTGTCTCCTTGTTAGATTCCAGTAAATACTGATAAAGAACGGGTCACATCCCAAGCTTGTCTCCTTGTTGGATTCAAGTAAACACTGATAAAGAACGGGTCACATCCCAAGCTTTTCTCCTTGTTGGATTCAAGTAAACACTGATAAAGAACGGGTCGCATCCCATGCTTGTCTCCTTGTTAGATTCCAGTAAATACTGATAAAGAACGGGTCACATCCCATGCTTGTCTCCTTGTTGGATTCAAGTAAACACTGATAAAGAACGGGTCACATCCCATGCTTGTCTCCTTGTTGGATTCAAGTAAACACTGATAAAGAACGGGTCGCATCCTATGCTTGTCTCCTTGTTGGATTCAAGTAAACACTGATAAAGAACGGGTCACATCCCATGCTTGTCTCCTTGTTGGATTCAAGTAAACACTGATAAAGAACGGGTCGCATCCCATGCTTGTCTCCTTGTTGGATTCAAGTAAACACTGATAAAGAACGGGTCGCATCCCATGCTTGTCTCCTTGTTGGATTCAAGTAAACACTGATAAAGAACGGGTCACATCCCATGCTTGTCTCCTTGTTGGATTCAAGTAAACACTGATAAAGAACGGGTCGCATCCTATGCTTGTCTCCTTGTTGGATTCAAGTAAACACTGATAAAGAACGGGTCACATCCCATGCTTGTCTCCTTGTTGGATTCAAGTAAACACTGATAAAGAACGGGTCGCATCCCATGCTTGTCTCCTTGTTGGATTCAAGTAAACACTGATAAAGAACCGGTCACATCCCATGCTTGTCTCCTTGTTGGATTCAAGTAAACACTGATAAAGAACGGGTCACATCCCAAGCTTTTCTCCTTGTTGGATTCAAGTAAGCACTGATAAAGAACGGGTCACATCCCATGCTTGTCTCCTTGTTGGATTCAAGTAAACACTGATAAAGAACCGGTCACATCCCATGCTTGTCTCCTTGTTGGATTCAAGTAAACACTGATAAAGAACGGGTCGCATCCCATGCTTGTCTCCTTGTTGGATTCAAGTAAACACTGATAAAGAACGGGTCACATCCCAAGCTTTTCTCCTTGTTGGATTCAAGTAAACACTGATAAAGAACGGGTCGCATCCCATGCTTGTCTCCTTGTTAGATTCCAGTAAATACTGATAAAGAACGGGTCACATCCCAAGCTTTTCTCCTTGTTGGATTCAAGTAAACACTGATAAAGAACGGGTCACATCCCAAGCTTTTCTCCTTGTTGGATTCAAGTAAACACTGATAAAGAACGGGTCGCATCCCATGCTTGTCTCCTTGTTAGATTCCAGTAAATACTGATAAAGAACGGGTCACATCCCAAGCTTGTCTCCTTGTTGGATTCAAGTAAACACTGATAAAGAACGGGTCACATCCCAAGCTTTTCTCCTTGTTGGATTCAAGTAAACACTGATAAAGAACGGGTCGCATCCCATGCTTGTCTCCTTGTTAGATTCCAGTAAATACTGATAAAGAACGGGTCACATCCCATGCTTGTCTCCTTGTTGGATTCAAGTAAACACTGATAAAGAACGGGTCACATCCCATGCTTGTCTCCTTGTTGGATTCAAGTAAACACTGATAAAGAACGGGTCGCATCCTATGCTTGTCTCCTTGTTGGATTCAAGTAAACACTGATAAAGAACGGGTCGCATCCCATGCTTGTCTCCTTGTTGGATTCAAGTAAGCACTGATAAAGAACGGGTCGCATCCCATGCTTGTCTCCATGTTGGATTCAAGTAAGCACTGATAAAGAACGGGTCGCATCCCATGCTTGTCTCCTTGTTGGATTCAAGTAAACACTGATAAAGAACGGGTCGCATCCCATGCTTGTCTCCTTGTTGCGATCCATGTTCAGAATGGTCCAAAAAGACGTGTGATTCACCACCAAGACAACATGCCTGTCTCATGAATTTAAATAGTCGCACGACCCGTTAAGATCCGGGTAAGAATAGGTATTCAGCAACCCATGCTTGTTGTAAGAGGCGACTAACAGGATTGGGTGGTCAGGCTCGTTGACTTGGTTGATGCATGTCGTGATGTCAATCACTGGATTGTCTGGTCCAGACTCGATTATTTACAGACCGCCGTCATGTAACTGGAATATTGCTGAGCACGGCGTTAAACAACAAACAAACAAACAAAAATAGTCGCACAGATCCTCCGGTACATCTAAGTCACGTAACCGGCCACCTGAAGCCTCTATCAACGATTAAAGTGCCATACTGGCTAAAATGTGCCTTGATTTCACTTACTATTATCCGTTTTTGAATAATACGGCCATCAAACATGTTTTTATTCAATTCAAACCCAATATGTTTGAAGCTAAAGGGCTGAAAGGGGAGGGCTTAAACATGGGACTTCCTGGTGTGCGGGGAATGTGTGGGGAGTTTCAGAGTGACGTGAGCGCATTAACCATGCACTAGACACTTTATCTGACACATCCCTGAGACAATCTCCTTTACATCTGCTCATCCTTCCAGTATTCGGAGGCTATGACTTGCGGACACGAACGTTGATACGTAGGGACTGCGGCAGACGTAGCGGAAGTCGTATGGTCACTTTTCGTCAGAGACGACATCATAATATCACGTGTCATCTGTATCGGCGGAAACACAAAGAGATGAAATGTACAGGGAAGGGTATGGCGATAACAAACTATGGGTCATGTGGCGATTGTCGGGTTCGAACCTGCACCATTATGGCTGGGCATGGCCAAGGAACCCAACTCTGCATCTCCATCACTTGCACCACGGTTGTCAAGACGACTAAAATGAGGTCCTGTCACACTCCGCGGACCCTTCCTCTTTATTTCAGAACTTAAGGTTTAATTTAGGCTTCAAGGGTGTAAAGAGACTTGGGAGGGAGGAGACACTTCATTGTTGGTATTTAATAATGCAAACTGAAACACCTTGAAGAACATTACAAACGTGTTTAGATCCTAAACAGACACCTAAACACACCCCTTGTCTTAATTTGACGCGTTTAGGGTCTTAACATGATTAGAACCTAAACATGTTTAGGATCGTGTTTTATAGATAATAGGGTCTAAATGTGGGAAAGACCCGTATCCCACTCTTAAAATTTATTGTAGGTAATAAAAAAAAGGGTCGCTTTCTATATGATTTTTAGCGTTTAATGGGGATATATAAATATGCGGGACAACTTTAAAAAGTAGTAATCAGATATACTTTCATTGTCAGCTTCCGTTTCCTGTATGACAAATACTATTCGTTATACATCAACAATACATCATATTTATACACTTTTACTACTTAATTTGTAGTCCTTCAGGCTACCTACTTGCCACTAGGAGTGAGTGAGTGAGTTTGGTTTTACGCCGCTTTTAGCAATATTCCAGCAATATCACGACGGGGGACACCAGAAATGGGCTTCACACCTTGCCACTAGGAACTTAGAGTGGTTTATTTGTACAGTTTTATGTGAATTTTGTTCCAGGTTCGTTTAGGGGCACGGGTGGTCCAGTCGTCTAAGGCGCCGCGATTCGCTGTGCAGAGTTGTGTCCCTTCGGCACGCCAGGAACCTATGATTGTGGGTTCGAATCCCGGTTCGCCCCGATTATGTTTCTGGGTTTGTCAGCACCATACCCGTGATCGTGGGTTTTACCGAAGTGGTAAACGTCGGGCTTTCCTCCCACATTAAGCTGACACGCCGCGATATAACTGTAATACTGTTAAAAGCGGCGTTAAACCCAACTCACTCACTCACTCACTCCAGGTTCGTTGTGCGTCCTTGTTCATGTATTTTCACGTCTGATTTCAATATATATTATACATCTTATCCATATTTGACTTATTGCCCAATGATATGTACTTTATGTAAACGTGATTAAAATCGAAACATGTTTAGGTTATCGGGATAGTGTCAAGGTGGTGTTTAGGCTGTGAGACGATAACTCATTTCCTCAGGCCCTAAACATGTTTATTCCGTGCATTCCTTTTTTGGATTTAAACACATTCCTATCTCAGAGGGCTAGCTTTATAAAATTAGTGCATGCACGTCGTTAAACCCCATTTTACTTTTAGCTTCCTAGTGTTGTCAGACGAGTGAAGATCCGGTTATTATAGGTCATCAGCAACCCATGTTTGCCGTAAAAGGCGACTTTGCTTGTCGCAAGGAGCGTCTAACGGGATTGAGTGATCAGGCTCGCCGACTTAGTTGATGCATGTCATCGTATCCCGATTGTCAATCATGATGTCAATCACTGGATTGTCTGGTCAGACTCGATTATTTACAGACCGCCGTCATATAGCTGGAATATTGCTGAGTGCGCCGTTAAACAGAAAAACGTCTTGTCACAAGCTCTGGAGAGTTCGTGGGTGGCCTTATGCCGACCTGCGTCCCATGGGCGTGTCTGACACCTTGGTCGTGGGTTCGAACCCCAGATTCGCCTGTGTTTCTAGGTTTGTCAGCACCCTGTCCGTGCTCGTGAGTTTCATTAAAGTAAACATCTAAGATGGAAGAAGATCATTTCGGGTTTTCCTCCCATATCAAACTGATATATAACCGTCCTATAACTGAAATACTGTTCAAATACTGCGTTTAACTCACTCACTCACAAGTCCTCTAAGTGGACAGTTTCATATACCAGAAGCAGAGCGGTGAGGGGAGGCTACAACGTGCGTGTATCCGGCTTGAGACAACACCTTGCCTGCATTTCCGCCACAAACAACTGTCGCCATGACCCAAGTGCGCTAAAGACAGGAGGATCCGTCATGTGCTTGTGATAAATACGCATGTACACATTTATTTCAAGTATAACATCTCTCCCATTACAATACAGCGAAACCTGTATATACCGGACAATGTTAATCCGGACAACCAACCTTCGATTACCACAGGAACACTTGTAAACGTGTCTACAAAAAGCCATTACTCCGTACCCATTTCAATTGGAACGGTGTCTGGTGTCCAGATTGACAAGGTTCACTGTATCACCGCCAATGATTCACACATACATAAACATAGCAGTCGGATATGACGACCAGAAGCAGTGTCAGGTCGCTCATTATTATCACACCATGTTTAATGTGTCAATGTGCAGCCAATAAAAATAACTCGTCAATTAGTGTTTCGCACACACACAGTCAACACGGACATTGTTTTGATTCGCGTGATGATGGAGGCTCCTAACCCCCGAACAGTTCTTCCCACGCTGCTTCCCCAACGAGGATGCTTGTAAGGGTGTGTTGTCTTCTCTGATGCGTCCTGCCATGGCTGGCCTCACACAAGGGACGCTAGCTGTTCTGCTGCTCTCGTCAGTTCATGGAAAAGGTACGGAGTAACCGATTTATATTTTTCAAATACTAACTGTACGTGCATCATGTTACTCGATATGCCATCAGTTTTGTTATTTTGATAATGTAAACACTTCTCAGCTTGTGAGAACACGTTTTTGTATCCTACGCATCGAGATTCTGTCTACCAACTCGCAAAGGACACAACAAATTCCCATCAGTCGTGTGTCACAGGAGGATTAAAATGGGTATCGCGTGGATTAAATTGGTTAGTTACTATAGTGCCCGACAAAGAGGAATCAAGAAATATCGATGTAATATTGATGACTACGACCGCTCACTCACTCACTCACTCACTCACTCACTCACTCACTTCACTGTGTGGTGATCCCTTCCTAAATACACGCTACGTATTTTGATCTTTAACTGAAATTCTAAACTATAACTTGCTTAGTGCCATCATTTACGTACATACCACACATGATTGAGTTCAATGTGGACGATACAAAGTACAGATCTGCGCAAAAGATTGTTACCAGTGTACCCGTGCATCGGATATTATACAAAAAATAAATACTTGTCATTGTGGCCTGCATTCCCGATTGATTGATTCATGATGACTGTCATTTTATAACTTTGAGTAATAGTGCAGTAAGTACTTTGATACGTTTCGCATATGACTAGTACTTATGGCGGAAGTATGAGTGAGTGAGTGAGTGAGTGAATGAGTGAGTGAGTGAGTGAGTGATATCCCAGCATTATCAGAAATGAGCTTCACACATTGTACCCATGTGTGGAATCGAACCCGGGTCTTCGGCGTGACGAGCGAACGCTTTAACTACTAGGCTACCCCACCGCCCCGGCGGAAGTATGAAGCATGTGATTAAGATAAAGAAATTGAAAATATAGTGGTTTTTGTTGAAGGCTTCTGGGTGACTGAGAAAGACATCGGTGCAGAAGTGCAGGTGTCTGAGATGAACCAGACGCTTAACTGGACGTCGTCCGCATCCTCGTGCCGGAGACGTGGTGGTCACTTGTACGTGGAGACGTCAGACAACACTGTTGAGAGTTTAGCGCGCAGACTGGAGGAAGATACACTCTATTGGGTCGGTGGAACGGTTGTCACACAGTCCTGGTATTGGGAGGGAACACAGGGTAGGTCAGTGTTGTCGCAGAGTCCTGGTATTTGGAGGAAACACAGATTAGGTCAGGGTTGTCACACTTCCTGGTACTGGGAGGGAAGGCAGGGTAGGTCAGGGTTGTCACACTTCCTGGTATTGGAAGGGAACACAGGGTAGGTCAGGGTTGTCACACTTCCTGGTAGTGGGAGGGAACACAGGGTAGGTTAGGGTTATCACACTTCCTGGTAGTGGGAGGGAACACAGGGTAGGTCAGGGTTGTCACACTTCCTGGTAGTGGGAGGGAACACAGGGTAGGTCAGGGTTGTCACACTTCCTGGTAGTGGGAGGGAACACAGGGAAGGTCAGGGTTGTCACACTTCCTGGAATTGGGAGGGAACACAGGGTAGGCCAGGGTTGTCACACAGTCCTGGTATTGGGAGGGAACACAGGGTAGGTCAGGGTTGTCACACTTCCTGGAATTGGGAGGGAACACAGGGTAGGTCAGTGTTGTCACACAGTCCTGGAATTGGGAGGAAACACAGGGTAGGTCAGGGTTGTCACACTTCCTGGTAGTGGGAGGGAACACAGGGTAGGTCAGGGTTGTCGCACAGTCCTGGTAGTGGGAGGGAACACAGGGTATGTCAGGGTTGTCACACTTCCTGGAATTGGGAGAGAACACAGGGTAGGTCAGGGTTGTCACACTTCCTGGTAGTGGGAGGGAACACAGGGTAGGTCAGGGTTGTCGCACAGTCCTGGTAGTGGGAGGGAACACAGAGTAGGTCAGGGTCGTCACACAGTCCTGGTAGTGGGATGGAACACAGGGTAGGTCAGTGTTGTCACACTTCCTGGTAGTGGGAGGGAACACAGGGTAGGTCAGGGTAGTCACACTTCCTGGTAGTGGGAGGGAACACATGGTAGGTCAGGGTAGTCACACTTCCTGTTATTGGGAGGAAACACAGGGTAGGTCAGGGTTGTCACACTTCCTGGTAGTGGGATGGAACACATGGTAGGTCAGGGTAGTCACACTTCCTGTTATTGGGAGGAAACACAGGGTAGGTCAGTGTTGTCACACTTCCTGGTAGTGGGAGGGAACACAGGGTAGGTCAGGGTAGTCACACTTCCTGGTAGTGGGAGGGAACACATGGTAGGTCAGGGTAGTCACACTTCCTGTTATTGGGAGGAAACACAGGGTAGGTCAGGGTTGTCACACTTCCTGGTAGTGGGATGGAACACATGGTAGGTCAGGGTAGTCACTCTTCCTGGTAGTGGGAGGGAACACAGGTTGGGTGAGGGTTGTCACACTTCAAGGCACTGAGGAGGAAACACAGGGTAGATTAGGTTTGTCAGACCTCCTGGTATTCAAAGGAAACACAGGGTAGGTCAGGATTGTCACACTTCCTGGTATTGGAGTGTATTTAAAAGAGGGATCCAAACAGCAAGTGTGAACAACATTGTTGTTTGTTTCACAGTCTCTTTTAACAGTTATTTAGACTGATTATGTAAACACTGATAAATACGAGCTCTTTTTAATTGAATTGAATCTAGCCCCCATCCAATCCTCCGTCTTAAACCCTGTGTGTACCCAACGCTTTCTGTACTCCGGCCAGATCGCCTGTACACTTACCGAGGCTACATCCCCGCCTCCACCACTGGGGAGAACAGGACCACGCACTATGAAGACAACCAAGCCTTCACCTGCTTCACGTTCTGTAACACCAACTACATAGCACTCAAGGTAAACTGTGCATGCGAGCTTCTCAAACACATATCAGGGGCCAAATATCTATTACTTTTTGGAGCCATTTGTGTTTTTCATTTCAGAGACATGATATATTTTCTCTGCTTCAAATTTAATTACATGTTTCTCTGATAAACATGATAGCCGATTGGCACAGTTCAACTGTTGTCTGGACACCAGGCAATGTCCAGCGGAAATGTTGTTGCTGTTGTTATAAACCCTGAGCCAAAATATTTTTTTACCACAATCTTTTCTGGAACAAATTTTATTTTCACAGAAACCCCAGCTTACTCGAATACCAAACGGTTCATCTCCTATGCCGACAACTGCTTAGTCATCTACATGACCATAAATATTTTCCTTGTTTCAATGTCTTCTGCAGAGTTTTCTAATATGTAGCTTTCATAGCTCCATTGCCATTATATTCCTTGTTTTCAGGAAACTGAATGTGTTTGTCTGATAAATGACCCAACACCTGGGAACAGCAGCACATCGAGCGTACTCTGTCCGGGCAACAGAGAGGAGAGCTGTGGGGACGCCGGGGGGTACTCTGTGTACAGCGACAGTAGGTACCCTGCATGTACAGTGAGGGAGTGAATGTACTTTATAGCCGCAGGCGACAATAAAGAGTGAATGTTGTTGCAAGTCACAGCGCCATTGAGGAGTGAATGTGTTTTTTTAAGCTGCACACAGCAATAAGAAGGGAATGTTGTTTCAAAAGGCACAAGCAAATACGGAGACAATGTTTTTTTCAAACTTCACATTTAAATAAGGGGAGAATGTTCTTTCAAGCTGTACACAGGAGTCAATGTTGTTTCAAACTTCACACCAAAAACCAAAATAAGGAGAGAGTGTTGTTTTAAGTTGCACAGAGCAAACGTGGTCGGCGGCATATGACGTTGAGGCTGTCTCCCTATCATGTGCTCAATGGGGGAAAGGCCTGAGCTCATTGCTGACCCTGGCATTCTATGCATGTTGTGCTGCTAGAGGAGAGAAGTGACGATTTGTGCACGGTGTGCAAGGGCGTCGCCGTCCTGTAAGACAAAGCGTCGACCCACACGCCTTACAAACGGAACAAGAAATAGTGTCAGTATTTTGTCTCGATAGTACTGTCCAGTGACCTTTCCTTGCACAATATAGAGAGGGGTTCACTCACTCATAGTGATGCTGTCCAACACCATAACCGATTCACCGCCAAATTTGTCTGGAGGTCTCAGGTTGACTTTGGCTTGACGTTCATTTTGACGTCGCCAGACACGACCACGCCTATCAAGGAAGAACAAAGTGAATCGGGACTCATCCGAAAACATGCCGCGTGACTAGCGAATACATCCCCCAGTTTCGACGTTGTGTACACCATTGACGTCTGTTGCCACTATGATGATTTGTAAGGGGCGGCAGAACACGTTGCCGTCGAACATGGTGATGAGGTGCATGTTGACGATTTCAAATCGCGTGAACCGTAACTCGTACTCCAGGTGCCTGTTGAGTGTGCAGCAATTTGATTTCGCCGTTCGACCTCAATTTTGTAGAGCCTGGTTTCAGGTCAATTGATCTTGTGCCCTTGTTGAGCTAGGACGCCCTCAACGGGGTCTGCCGTCAACATTTTGGGTTTGATGGTACCTGTTCCATAGTCTGCCAATCACAGACTGTTTAACAGTGAACGTATTGGCCACTGACTTTTCAGTTTCCAGCATGTTAGTAGCTCGCAGACGTTCCGTGCGTTGCCGCATCGCTAGTTCATATACAAAAAATGAATGAAATCAAATATATCACAACTGTATGATGAGCAGAATAAATAAGATTGACAGAAATGTGACCCACAGAGATTAATCGACCTTCTTTGAAAGCGTCAAAATCAGAAATGACACTCTACGCATGTGTATGGCGCTACGGATGTTAGTCGACAAGACTTTTTTTGTTCTTATACTTGGAACTAATATTTTTATTTCATGATCCCCTACTTTTTTAAGGGTATATTTTTGTAACTAATACAGCCATTTAACATAAGAACACTTGGATGCATACATCTTTGAACAGATGGCACTATTATAAGTTCTGTGACGATGACACGCCATCCTTGTGTTGGTGACACTTTATCCTATTTTGTTAGTCTAAACTCTGAAGTAAACATGATATGAGTTATGCTTGTTTAGAATTACAACGGCTGGCAAAGTTCCGTAAAGCTAGAATGAACGACTTCCGGTACGTCTGGGGGGTCCTGGAGATCAGTACCGGCAGCAACACGGTGGCAACATCAGACAGTCAGACAGAGATGTTGATGGCTTTGTGTAGCACCCCATCGCACGATGTTGGTGGTAAGCTACCTGAACTTTTGACCTTAAGAAATCATTTTTATGTAATCAAAGAACATATCTCATATTTCAAAGGGATTACGGGTATAACGAAGACACGTTGGACGTTAACGTTCAATGATCGTCTGTGGGCTGTTGACGTTAATATAATAATTATAATTTAAGAGAGCTATTGGCAACAGGGGGCATGAACAATTTGTTTAGAATATTGAGATGGCTTCCACTTATCAGTAAGTGATTGTGTAAGAGAATTTAACGCCGATTTGAATAGTGTTTTAGATATACTAGGGCGTGTCCGTGGAAAATTAAGATTGAAGCCGGAAGCGATGCAGAGCTAAACGTCAAATTGTAAGCGATAACAAGAGGGTTTAGCGAAAGGTCCTGTCCTGCATTGTGGGACCATCCCCTATATGTTCAGGGCTCGCATATAGGTACACCTAACCCCTGGATTCATTCCCGTGGTTTCCCGCGATTTCAAATTACCCGCCCTTGATTTTCATTAGCCAATTCAGCTTTAGAAATTGGCACTAGTCCTACAGTCCTTGCCATACTGCCCAATAGTTAAGGTATCATAAAGACTAGTAGAGATTTGCCAGGGATTTTGTTATATGGTATCAATATAAGGAGTAGTAGACTAAAACACTTAGTTTATATTGCTGCAGTTTGATTTGCTACGGTACTCAGTCTAACGGACCAATCAGAATGCGAGTTACAGTGTCAATGTTGCCTTAGCGATAACGACAACATGGCGGCCATTCCCATTCATTACGATAGTGTTTACGAGAAATTCAACATAGAAATACTAACTGACATGAAAAGAAGCGAAAGAAAACCCTAAAAAATCTTTTGTGGAAAGGATGTCTTCATGTCCACCGCCCTTACCCATTTCCTTTTTCCTGATCTCAACGTTTGATTGGTCGGTAAAATGTTTATGAAAATCAAGGGCGGGTAATTTGAGATCGCGAGAACCTCGGGAATGAGTGTAGGTTTACCGAAATGCGAGCCCTAAAGATACGGAGGATGTGGTGGGATATACCGTGGGATGCATTCTTCCTTAATGCTTTGTGAATAAGCATGATTGCCACGAAATACATAAATGTCTTTAACAAGTTTAGGGTATAGGTGTCATACAGTGTACATAGTTAGGCAATGCAGGGACGCTAACCACGTTTATTTACCTCTCATGTATAGATCCCATCACCACCCGATCTACGCGTCAGGAAGCCAGAACAACGTGTGAGAACAGACAGGGGTCACTTCTTCAAGTGAATGGGACAATTAATAACCTGCAAACTGGACGTTATTGGATAGGACTTCGGCGAAGCTTTTCCTGGGTATGGATCACAGGTACTGTGTATTGTTATGTAGGTTGATCACAGGTACTGTGTATTGTTATGTAACCTTGGAGGTTGATCACAGGTACTGTGTATTGTTATGTAGGTTGATCACAGGTACTGTGTATTGTTATGTAGGTTGATCACAGGTACTGTGTATTGTTATGTAGGTTGATCACAGGTACTGTGTATTGTTATGTAGGTTAATCACAGGTACTGCGTATTGTTATCTAGGTTGATCACAGGTACTGTGTATTGTTATGTAGGTTGATCACAGGTACTGCGTATTGTTATGTAGGTTGTTCACAGGTACTGTGTATTGTTATGTAACCTTGGAGGTTTATCACAGGTACTGTGTATTGTTATGTAGGTTGATCACAGGTACTGTGTATTGTTATGTAACCTTGGAGGTTGATCACAGGTACTGTGTATTGTTATGTAACCTTGGAGGTTGATCAAAGGTACTGTGTATTGTTATGTAACCTTGGAGGTTGATCACAGGTACTCTGTATTGTTATGTAACCTTGGAGGTTGATCACAGGTACTGTGTATTGTTATGTAACCTTGGAGGTTGATCACAGGTACTGTGTATTGTTATGTAACCTTGGAGGTTGATCACAGGTACTGTGTATTGTTATGTAGGTTGATCACAGGTACTGTGTATTGTTATGTAGGTTGATCACAGGTACTGTGTATTGTTATGTAACCTTGGAGGTTGATCACAGGTACTGTGTATTGTTATGTAGGTTGATCACAGGTACTGTGTATTGTTATGTAGGTTGATCACAGGTACTGGGTATTGTTATGTAGGTTGATCACAGGTACTGTGTATTGTTATGTAGGTTGATCACAGGTACTGCGTATTGTTATCTAGGTTGATCACAGGTACTGTGTATTGTTATGTAGGTTGATCACAGGTACTGCGTATTGTTATGTAGGTTGATCACAGGTACTGTGTATTGTTATGTAACCTTGGAGGTTTATCACAGGTACTGTGTATTGTTATGTAGGTTGATCACAGGTACTGTATATTGTTATGTAACCTTGGAGGTTGATCACAGGTACTGTGTATTGTTATGTAACCTTGGAGGTTGATCAAAGGTACTGTGTATTGTTATGTAACCTTGGAGGTTGATCACAGGTACTCTGTATTGTTATGTAACCTTGGAGGTTGATCACAGGTACTGTGTATTGTTATGTAACCTTGGAGGTTGATCACAGGTACTGTGTATTGTTATGTAACCTTGGAGGTTGATCAAAGGTACTGTGTATTGTTATGTAACCTTGGAGGTTGATCACAGGTACTGTGTATTGTTATGTAACCTTGGAGGTTGATCACAGGTACTGTGTATTGTTATGTAACCTTGGAGGTTGATCACAGGTACTGTGTATTGTTATGTAGGTTGATCACAGGTACTGTGTATTGTTATGTTACCTTGGAGGTTTTATCACAGGTCCTGTGTATTGTTATGTAGGTTGATCACAGGTACTGTGTATTGTTATGTTACCTTGGAGGTTGATCACAGGTACTGTGTATTGTTAGGTAACCTTGGATATGGATCACAGGTACTGTGTATTGTTATGTAACCTTGGATATGGATCACAGGTACTTTGTATTGTTATGTAACCTTGGAGGTTGATCACAGGTAATGTGTATTGTTATGTAACCTTGGATATGGATCACAGGTACTGTGTATTGCTATGTAACCTTGGATATGTATCACAGGTACTGTGTATTATTATGTTACCCTGGATATGGATCACGGGGACTTTGTATTGTTATGTATCCTTGGATATGGATCACAGGTACTGTGGATCGTTATGTAACCCTGGATATGGATCAAAGGTACTGTGGATCGTTATGTAACCTTGGATATGGATCACAGGTACTGTGGATTGTTATGTAACCTTGGATATGGATCACAGGTACTGTGGATTGTTATTTAACCTTGGATATGGATCACAGGTACTGTGTATTGTTATGTAACCTTGGATATGGATCACAGGTACTGTGTATTGCTATGTAACCCTGGATATGGATCACAGGTACTGTGTATTGTTATTGTACCCTGGATATGGATCACAGGTACTGTGGATCGTTATGTAACCTTGGATATGGATCACAGGTACTGTGTATTGTTATGTTACCTTGGATATGGATCACAGGTACTGTGTATTGTTATGTAACCTTGGATATGGATCACAGGTACTGTGTATTGTTATGTAACCTTGGATATGGATCACAGGTACTTTGTATTGTTATGTAACCTTGGAGGTTGATCAGAGGTAATGTGTATTGTTATGTAACCTTGGATATGGATCACAGGTACTGTGTTTTGTTATGTAACCTTGGATATGGATCACAGGTACTGTGTATTATTATGTTAGCCTGGATATGGATCACAGGGACTGTGTATTGTTATGTAACCTTGGATATGGATCACAGGTACTGTGGATCGTTATGTAACCCTGGATATGGATCAAAGGTACTGTTGATCGTTATGTAACCTTGGATATGGATCACAGGTACTGTGTATTGTTATTTAACCTTGGATATGGATCACAGGTACTTTGTATTGTTATGTAACCTTGGATATTGATCACAGGTACTGTGTATTGTTATGTAACCTTGGATATGTATCACAGGTACTGTGTATTACTATGTCACCCTGGATATGGATCACAGGTACTGTGTATTGTTATTGTACCCTGGATATGGATCACAGGTACTGTGGATCGTTATGTAACCTTGGATATGGATCACAGGTACTGTGTATTGTTATGTTACCTTGGATATGGATCACAGGTACTTTGTATTGTTATGTAACCTTGGATATGGGTCACAGGTACTGTGTATTGTTATGTAACCTTGGATATTGATCACAGGTACTGTGTATTGTTATGTAACTTTGGATATTGGTCACAGGTACTGTTGATCGTTATGTAACCTTGGATATGGATCACCGGTACTGTGTATTGTTATGTAACTTTCGATATGGGTCACAGGTACTGTTGATCGTTATTTAACCTTGGATATGGATCACTGGTACTGTGTATTGTTATGTAACCTTTCAAGCCGTTTTCATTGTCAAACTAAGTGGGTTGGCTTTAACGCCACCTTGAACATTATTTCAGTATGGGTCTAATGTTGAATGAAAACTGAAGGTAACGCAGGTAGTAGACGTTGAGACCCATGAGTATGTGTATGATCCTGATAAATCAGCAGCATTATTGCCGCGGATCCTGGCACGACAAAGGGGCGCACCTCAAAGAAGCGCTTTGCAGTATTTCAACACCAATACCTCAATAATGCATGTCCTTCTACATGCATAAAACCTCGAATAGTGAAATTGTGAAACTTTGTTTGATCGCAGTGGAAGATAGTTGAACAATCTTTTTAATCAAATGTTTAATAACAATTAATCATTTATTAGATGTTCATGCAAGCTGTGGACTTCTGTGTCCAGTAACTGTCGGCGGATTTGGTTCACAGGAAGTATGACTGGTTGGTTAGTCTACGTGTATGGGGTAGTTCATCAAGTATAAGGGGCTAAAACAAGGACTGGTCGGCTCGGAGTCAGTATAGTGTGTCTGAGTGGGGTATTCATGTTAAACTGTGGCAAGGTATCTCAGTGAGTTAGCACTATAAATCGGCATCAGTCCGGACAAGTACAAGCATCTACTCACACACACACGTGCATGCACGTCGTTATACAAGTGCAATGATATTGGACGCGACGTTAAAGACACTTTCACCTCACCTCATCAAGTACATGTATATAAACAAGGAAACCTGCGTTGGGAATTGTTTCGTAGATGCTTGGGGACATTGACATGGTGTGAGGGGGTGTGGGTAATGAGGTGGGAAGGATTAAATATGATATATTTTGTTTTGGTCTTATATGCAACGTCAAACGTTAAAATGCTCTTTGTTTCAAGTGGAATTTAGAAAATGAGAAAATATGAAAAATTGAAATGTTATAACTTGTTGTGTCAGAGCATTACTAAACCGTTTCCAGTCAACATGCTTCATGTTAGGGTCCAAATTTTTCTTTTACAAAAAATTTCAGAGTCACGTTACGAATGATTAACGGTGTTAGTTGTTCATACCAGAATTAAATCAACTTTATATATACTTTGTATCTCTCTACACAAGGGGCGACTGGGTAGCCGAGTGGTTAAAACGTTTGCTCGTCGAGCTGAAGGCCCGGGTTTGATTCCCCGCATGGGTACAATGTGTGATGTCCCTCGCCGTGATGATGCTTGAATATAGCTAAAACCAAACTCACTCTCTCACTATCTACACAACCAGTTCATAACTGTTTACTGTCCTTGCAGGGAAACCGGTGGGAAAGGATACTACGAACGCTTCACTGCCCTATCGATGTCTGTCGGTGAGGAGACGAAGAAACACAGTTCGGATCGAGAACCAAGACTGCACCAAGCCATTAAGATACATATGTTTAACAGGTATAGAGGCAGCAGACACTGATACACTAAGTTCAGACTGACTTAACGTCGCATTGGCACTAGTTCAGGACTCGTGAAGATCCGGGGTAGAATAGGTCTTCAACAACACTTGCTTGTCGTAAAATGCTTCCATGCTTGTTATAAGAGGCGACTAACGGGATCGGGTGGTCAGGCCCTGACTTGGTTGATGCATGTCATCGATCCCAATTGCGTAGATCGATGCTCATGATGTCAATCACTGGATTGTCTGGTTCAGACTCGATTATTTACAGTCCGCCGTCATATAGCAGGAATATATGAGTGTGGCGTTAAACAACAAAATAACAAACAAACAAACCAGTCAGGCTTACAATACAGTATGGACGACAATTGGCCATGCAGTGTAGCGCATGTCGAAACGACGTCATGATTCAAAACGTAGGAAATTTGTGTTCGTTCAGCTAGGAAGAATCTTTAAATCTGAAACCCGTTTTAGGAAATGTTTGAGACAAAGAATGACGTCCGTGGAGGCATTAACTATGAATAACAGTTTTATCACCAATGGATTACAAATGATCAATTTTATGATTTTGAGTTCAAAGTTTCTAGTTTTCACTTCAGAACGTGATACCAAGCACATTCCTACATGGGTGTCTCAATAGTGCTGCTGACATCCGACATGTAACTTTAAGAACACATGGTTCATATATGTAGCAGGTGTTTGTAATGCTGATCAATATACAAAATGTTTCTTATGAGATGAGTTGCTTCAGCAAGGGGCCACCGGCCCTTTTTCCAAAGCACATACGAAGGGCGTTCAGTAAGTTTTGCAACTTTAATATAAGACCAAGTCGCAGAATATCTTTTGCACTTTTATTTTTCAATATAATCTCCATTTACCTCAATAAACTCTTCCATTTGTCCCTTAAGCTTTTAATACCACTTTTATAGAAATCCGCAGATTGGCCCTCTAACCACGCCTCTGTGGCTGCCTTTATGTCCTCTTCATCCTGGAAGCGTCTTCCACGTAGGGCAGATTTCATTTGCCGGAACAGGAAAAAGTCACTGGGGGCTAAGTCTGAGAGCTAGTGTGGGTGATTTGACTGTACAGCCCATCGTACTACATTGAAATGCATTGGAGCACCGTAACAGTACATGGTAGCCCCGTAACATTACATGGTGGCGCGTAACAGTACATGATAGCCCCGTAACAGTACATGGTAGCCCCGTAACAGTACATGGTAGCACCGCAACAGTACATGGTAGCCCCGTAACATTACATGGTGGCGCGTAACAGTACATGGTAGCCCCGTAACAGTACATGGTAACACCGTAACAGTACATGGTAGCACCGCAACAGTACATGGTAGCCCCGTAACAGTACATGGTAGCACCGCAACAGTACATGGTAGCCCCGTAACAGTACATGGTAACACCGTAACAGTAAATGGTAGCACCGCAACAGTACATGGTAGCCCCGTAACAGTACATGGTAGCCCCGTAACAGTACATGGTAGCCCCGTAACAGTACATGGTAACACCGTAACAGTACATGGTAGCACCGCAACAGTACATGGTAGCCCCGTAACATTACATGGTAGCCCCGCAACAGTACATGGTAGCCCCGTAACAGTACATGGTAACACCGTAACAGTACATGGTAGCACCGCAACAGTACATGGTAGCCCCGTAACAGTACATGGTAGCCCCGTAACAGTACATGGTAGCCCCGTAACAGTACATGGTAGCCCCGTAACAGTACATGGTAGCCCCGTAACATTACATGGTAGCACCGCAACAGTACATGGTAGCCCCGTAACAGTACATGGTAGCCCCGTAACAGTTCATGGTAGCCCCGTAACAGTACATGGTAGCCCCGTAACAGTACATGGTAGCCCCGTAACAGTACATGGTAGCATACTTTTAAGCAGATTGGTCAAACGTGAGAGTCGAGGTACTTTTGTCGTTTTTCAAATGATAAAATATTTTTTTAGCCGGAAAGTTGATTTCAATTGTATTTGATGCTGTACATAGTCTTATAAATTTGTTTTGTTATGGATTCTCATAGAAGTAACATTGGAGAATATATTCCCTTAAGCTTTGATGAAAAGGACATTCTAAAAAGATGTACATGTATTCAGTTTCTGTCGCAGGGACAATGCAGAAGGTCTTTCTATAGGAGAAATATTCTTTCGTGATCATAAGAGTGTGACTTGAGCACCACAATTGACTTTAAGCAATGCGATAAGCGTTAATTATTAACACCAACTTTAACCATTCTATAGACATCCAATTTTGGAAACGTGGATACTAGCTTCTTATTGTGAATGATCATTCACCAAAACTGTTAAAAAGTTACAAAACATGGCCTTTTCCAGCTTAAATTTAGGTGTTGTGTTTATCTCATGAAAACAAACAAAAATTGATATACCTTCATTTAAAAAAACATGTTTAAAATTTGAAATTACATCAACAATATTATGTTGAAATATTACATATTCGGCAAGTATTTGTAGCCATCTATATTAAAGACAACTAGGTGCAGCCTTACAAAGGGCTATAATCTGTTGTAATCCCAACCGTTGGAATCCCTCTATATCCAGGAGAGAGCGGGAGTTCCGGGGCTGAGGGGTACGGCTGGGCACTACCGACAGGCGTGGCCGGGGCCGCAGCAGTTCTCATCATCATCGCCGCCACAGCGGGATGCTGTGCACGGTAGGTTTTCAGCTGCAATGAAATGACACTTTTTATATGCAATATTTGTTATATCTTCTTGTTCTTTTTCTTGTCCCTTTCTTTTTCTTCTTTTTTTTTTCTTTTTTTACTTCTTTGTTTTCTTCTTTCTTTTCTTGTTTTCTTTTCTTCGTCTTCTTTGTTTTCTACTTCTTCTTTTTTCAAATCCCGATTTGACCTGATCATAATCTGTGGTTTCTTGGCACCTGCCCTTGGTTTTCACCAAAGTGTGAACGTCTAAGACCAGTGCCACTGTGGTCTTTTCTCCCACATCAAGCTGACAAGCTGTGATGTAACTGGAATACTGTTCAAAGTGGCGTTAAACTTAAGCAAACAAACTTGTAAAATAATGTGCTTGCTTATAGAGGTTAAGTCCAAATACCTATATTTATTGTGCATTTAGAGATACAATACTATAATTATTTGAAACCCATATTCCACTCGTGTGAAATAACAATTTTCGCTTTATGTCTGCCTGATTGGCATTATTGTTTTAGACTTAGAAGTGTATGATAAGCGAGATAATACATAATAAAATACTTCTCTTTTCTTGTTAAACACATGTGTATCTTTATCATGGGACATGACACAATTGGTGTTTGACTCGCATGTGCGCCGCTCATGAAAGTATCAAACTTGTCAGGTCGCTCAATGAGATATATTAATACATGTTATTTGAACAGAAAAGCCGAATATCCTCCGTGAACCTGTTAATATTTGACCATAATCATCAACATCAATGAAATTATGTTTTAGTAGGCTGAAACGCAAGGGGGTCGCTAAAGTAAAGCACAAGAAGAAAACAGGAGATGGGAAACGGCAAGGTGATGGGAAACGTCCGAAACGAGAGTCTACCGATGTGGAGTACTCGGAAGTGGGAGATTCCACCATGATGCCCTCATCCCCGGACTCTTTCGCTACGGAGGAGGGAGAGTACCACATCCCATACAATGCGGCGTTGTGTATTGGTGGGCGCGTCCAACCCTACAACCAGGGGATGTACAGCCACACAGGACGACTGGGCGGGGAAGGGGCAAACTACGATGTTAGTACGATCAACAGAATCCCCTCGACACCGCCCAAGGACGATTATGATCACATTGGATCACTTGCTGAACAAAGTGAGAAAGACTCACCCGGATATGATACCCCTAGGTCAACGAGAAGGAGTGTGAACGTTGCAGAGGTTAAAGCCTCCAAGGTCAAGGACGAGAATGATCATCAGAGGACGGAAGCAACATGTCTCCCTATTCAAGTCAGTTACAGTGAGCGTGAGAACACCACAGGCCTTCAATACGATACACCTCGGCGCGGTAGTCCTATAACTGTTGCCCACAGCGATGTTGCTGGCGCCGAGAGTCGGGACAGAGGAGTTAATACCCCTGCTTATGACGTCCCTAGGAGTGACAGAACTGGGCATGTCGCACAGTTGTAACCACTGAGATAAGATTTGTTTGTTTGTTTGTTTGTTGTTTAACGCCGCACTCAGCAATATTCCAGCTATATGACGGCGTTTGTTAAGTAATCGAGTCTGGACAAAACAATCCAGTGATTGGCACCATGAGCATCGATCTACGCAATTGGGATACAATGACATGCATCAACCAAGTCAGAGAGCATGACCACCCACCCGTTACTCGCCTCTTACGACAAGCATAGTCGCCTTTTACGGCAAGCATGGGTTGCTGAAGATCTATTCTACCCCGGATTTTCACGGGTCACTGACATTCCTGAGAGCGAAATTAGCAATTGCCGAAAGCGCTCGTAAAATCTGAATCAACACCTGATAAGTAATATTTAGTTAATTTCATGGAAAAGACAGTTCTGTTTCATACTGTGCAATATATAGATAAAGAGATGTAGCAAAATACAAGAAGAAAGTTTATTGTTGATTTCAATAAACGTCCTGGGAAAAGAAAGTATACACTTGAAAATTTAAGTTTGACCAAACAATTACGTTATCAAAACGTTTCTTGGTTGAAAACAGTCACTGAAACACAGCAAACTTCCAAAACACAACCGTAGGAAATACATATCCATCGATTAACCATTTCTTGTTCGCTTCATTTTTAGCCACTATCAAACATGGATGTGTACTTTCTTTTGCCCGGCAGTGTATTCCTTACATATGAACCAAGTAATAAATAGAGAATCTCACCCAAGTGTCTTTTGATATCAAATATATAAACACGAGTTGATAAAAGTGGAAAAATGCCGAGGCTTGCCGAGGATTTTTGCGAATTTTATCAACGAGTGTTGATATATTTGATATCAAAAGACACGAGGGTGAGATTTTATTTATCATCCAACATCATTCTTTCAACTTTTTCAATTTGTAGACAGTAATTAGCAGTGTCTTCAGTGTAAAAAGTACTGCAAACAGCTTCAGTAGCAGAGCCATTAGTGATGTCATTTGATTGTGACGTCATGGTAACCAGTGACGTCACAATGGTCTGCAAAGCATTGTGATGTAATTTCATTGCAGCAATATCTACAGTGTAGATATCGCAAAAGCGATATCTACAGTGTAGATATTGCTTGATCTCATCCAAGCGATATCTCCTGTGGGAGCCAGTTTTGGATGATAAACACTATTCCTGCAGCAGGTAGAAATTGTACATCTACATCCCAATTCAAGACAGACATACATACGAAAAGAGCAAGTCAGTGCACCTCCATATTTTTCCTATGGTGTTAGAAAGTTGAATATTTATCATACTTGATTAAGATACATGAAAAGCCAGTTAAATTATGATTTATACAGAATAGAGATAAAATGTGATCCAATATGTCAATGTGGTAATCCATGTGAAAACGCATATCATTATTTATTAAAGTGTCCATTGTATGTCCACCAAAGAAAAACTATGTTAATCATAATTGGGGACATTTTACAGAACGCCGTGAACAAAAATGTTAAATTAGATTTAAGTTTGATGTTTAACGGAAATGAATGTTTGTCCATTATCAAAAATCAACACATCTTTAAAGCAGTGCAAATGTTTATAAGTCATACAAAGAGATTTGGGTAACACTTTAATGTACATATACAAGTCTCTCTCTTGTACATTTCTTGTTATCTCTACATTCATCTTCTTTTCTGTTTTCCTTGTATATGATTTACTGTACAAGCTTTGTAAATACCATGGAGAGGGAGTCCTAAGTTCGATAACTTGTTCCCAATCCATTTCAATCTGAATAAAATATGTTTAAATCAACCAAGTAATGCACAGTGACATGTTAGCACCTGGTGTCACAACATTATCATACAATGCCATCCTTGTACTTGTCAGACGTGTATCCCTTTCTATGTGTCCCCCTTTTTCTTTGTAGCAGTATGTATAAGGTGATATATCAGTTAGGTCACCAGAGAGAAAAGGGTGAAAACAAGGTTACGTCCATGACATGATGGAGTGGCTCGATCCTTTTATTACCGTCTTCGCCATGCATGTTGAGACAGAGGACCATCCATGGTACGACCCAGAGTATGTAGAGGGCGTCATGGAAAATGATAAATACAAAAATATTTTGGAATAGGCCTGTATACAGCCTTACACCTATCAAGGCCAACAAACCTGATCTTTTCCTTTTTCCTCAATCCAATGAATTCATTTATGTCATTAAATTCTCTGTCCCTTTTGACACAAATGTGATTGACAAGATTCAGGTGAATCATGGCAAAAATGCGGACCTCACTTTCGAAATGTCACGTTTGCATCCTAAGTAGCAATTTGTCTGACTCCCATTGTTCTCCGCGCCTTAGGTTTGGTATCTCCCAATCTGTTGACTGAGTACCCGTTTTTGCTACCAGACATACAGCCATTCTGACAATCGATTCTATTGTACTATTCAGACTATATCATGAACATGCGTTTATGAATCACTATCAAATAGTGATGATACAGGTGTTCGCGAAAAGGTGAGCGTATCCTGACCCACCGGTGGCACCCGTCACAAACACATGTAAAGGCAAGTCAGTTATTCTCCTGAAGAAACGAGGGAACATATCGGTCAAAATAGGGAACTGAAGCGGACATCATTTTTGTCACTGATGCGTCAGAATTAGAGAATTTCCTCCACATGTCGACCATGAAACTTTTTGAAAGCTTCACCGAGGCCTTGGATGTTGTAACCTTGATCAAACAACTTCTGAGCAAGAGTCGTATGATGCTCTTTGGAATCTTGGTGGAAAGAGCATGCTCCATTGTATCTCAAAAGTTGTGAAATGTAAACACCAAAGGCTGGAGCCGCTGGAATAGCTTCTGGAAACGAGCTCATTTAAAACTACCATGTTTTCACGTTATATAAACGATGTTCATACTCCAATGTTATAAAATGTTATAACAAATCCCCGTTATAACGACCTAATTCCCACGGCCTAAATGACATCGTTGTACATATTCCAGCTATTTTACTTTACATTATCGCATTCACTAATGGTATGCGGTTGCTTTGAACTCCTTCAGCCATTTATGCTGTAGTTCTCCCATCGTGTCCATGTGCCTGTGCAATACCTTCATTGTTAGCGTTATCGCGTGACAAGGACCCATTAGTAACGTGTTTTAATTGTTTCATTGTCACCTAATGACATAATGTGCATAATTTTTTTCTCAGTATCTTCATTTAGGATGCTTATTGAACAGCTATGCTTTGTAAAATCCTGAAAAATAAAATCTACGTCCATTTTAATTGTTTTGTAATGGTGCACTACCCATTAATACATAATTTACCATTAGCTTACAACAACATTCCACTCAGTCGACCTTCCCCAGGTACCATTTACGATTAATTACTTTCACCTGAAAAAATCCGTGTTTCTCTGTGCAACGATAACCTGTTTGTATCATTCTGCATGTTCCATCCTGATGTTTTTGAAGTGTTCGATGCAGACGTAGGATTTCATTACGCGACCAAATATATTTGGAAAAAAGAAGCCAGACCTAAAGAACGTCACTTAACCAAATGTATCGACAAAGACATTTAAATGTTGACCGCACCCGTGGTGTAGTGAATAGAACGCCAGACCTGACGGTCGGGAGCGGTGGTTCGATCCCCGGCCACGTCAAAACAAGTACTTTACTTGTTGTTTCCCTGCCTGATGTTCGGTAATAATATTAAGGGGATTAAACAAGGACTGGGTGTTACTGGGTACGCGTGTGTTATCCTTGTTACACTGCATGGTATCTCAGTGGGCTAGCACTATAAAACCGACATTAGTCCGGACTAAAGCAAGCAGCCATACGCACACGCCGCAACACGGGTGCAATAATCTTGAACGGGACGTTAAACCCCTTTTTACCTCACCTCACCTCGCCTCGCCTCGCCTCGCCTCGCCTCGCTTCGCTTCTCTTCGCTTCTCTTTGCTTTGCTTTGTTTTGCTTTGCTTTGCTGTGCTTTGCCACGCCACGCTACGCCACGCCACGCCACGCCACGCCACGCCACGCCACGCCTCGCCTCGCCTCGCCTCGCCTCGCTTTGCCTCGCCACGCCACGCCACGCCACGCCACGCCACGCCACGCCACGCTTTGCTTTGCTTTGCTTTGCTCGCCTCACGATGCCGGTTTGGATGAATGTTTAACTATCTAGATGGACCTTGAACACAGCTATCAAGTGTCATATTTTATATATATAATCTGTTTTGGTGTCGGATTTGTGAAACAAAACGGGGACACTATATACACAGTTTACTCAATTAACTGATTGTTTTGCGAAGCTATGTTTAATCTGTCGGGGCTGGTGACGTGTCCAGAATTCCATTGTGTTTAGGTCATGTGTCATTTCAGGTCTTCAAGCACTCTGGTATGAGTCGATGATAGTCAACGTAAGACTAACTTTACAAGTCCTATGATGACACATAGGTGGCCCAGTCGTCCAAGGCGCCGCAAATCGTTGTGCAGTATTGCGTCACCTGGCCACGCCAGAATCCATTGATCGTGGTTTCGAATCCCGGTCCGCACCGAATATGTTCATCAGCACCATACTTGTGGGTTCAACAAATGTAGTTTACCCCTGAGACCTGCATCACTTCGGGCTTTTCTCCAACATTAAGCTGACACGTCGAGATATAAGATTGATTTGTCCAGACTTGATTAATTGCAGACCAACGTCACATAGCTGGAAAGCGGCGGCAAACAACAAACAAACAAATCAAAACAGCGTTAAACCCAACTCACTCACACATTCACTCTATGATTATGACGGAATCGTTCTGTGTTTCTCACGATATCATTGAACTTGATGACACCCGATCTGAATCAGCTAGCCCAGCTCGATAGTTGATGACCAGGCAGCGCTGTTCGTGACGGATAAAGACGTTCCTGTTCCGGTCTGGGTTCGTGCACTGGCTGTGATTGTCACACAAGGTCAGCACAAACACGCTTATTAACAAATGCCACAGCGTGCGTGTTGGTAGCAGAAGGGATGAAAACAGATTCGTGCAGGTTTTCTTTCAAATAATCCGGGGCGGTCGGGTAGCCTGGTGGTTAAAGCGTTCGCTCGTCACGCCGAAGACCCGGGTTCGATTCCCGACGTGGGTACAATGTGTGGAGCCAATTTCTGGTG